CACAAGAGAAGGCTGAGGGGGGATCTAGTGGCCTGTTACAAACTAGTCAGGGGGGAACAGCAGGCACTGGGGAAGTCCCTGTTCCCTTGAGCACTGCCAGGAGTGACCAAGAATAATGGTCACAAGCTGGCAGAGGGTAGAGTCAGACTAGACATCAGAAGGCGCTACTTCACGGTCAGGGTGGCTAGGATCTGGAACCAACTTCCAAGAGAAGTGGTGCTGGCTCCTACCCTGGGGGTCTTTAAGAGGAGGCTAGATGAACACATTGCTGGGGTCATTTGACCCCAGTACTCTTTCCTGCCATGGCAGGGGGTCAGACCTGATGATCTGCTCAGGTCCCTTCTGACCCTACCAACTATGAAACTATGAAACATAGCATACTCCTCAGTAATGGGGTTAAAAAAACAAACTACCCATATGTTATATGGGTATAGCATATAACATAGGGACAAACAATAAAGCAATTTTCCAAAAGTGAAAAATCACTTTTTCAAACACTGATTTAAAATAACTTGATGGCTGTTCTGCATTGATAGACAAGCAGATTATGGTTACTATTTTATTTTTAAAAAGAGAGTTAAACTGAATTTTGGTATATTTGACCTTGATTCAATTCCCAGCAGAGCTAACTTGAAGAAAAAACATCCAGTCAGCATAAATATTCCAATTCTGTAAGAAACTTTACTTTTAACAAGAAGTCACACTGTCAGTGATATTACTCATGTGAGCAAGGTTATTCATAGGACTTGCTCCAGTAAAAATCACGATTTCATACTAACTGAATTACACTAGACAACTGTAAGTGGTGACTCAACCTCATTACATCAGTGACTAAAAGATCTCAATAGGTGTCTGTTGCACATACCATTGTAACACAAAGTGATCAGAAATCAATCGTAAGTGGTTGACGACATACTCAGTTTTAAGTTAGAAGAACTAATGTAATCCATTTTACAGATAAAATTTATTTTCCAGGGAAGTCAAAAGGTAGAATAAGCAATAAATTGTAAAATATGTTTGAAGGGATACAGGTAAAATGTACGTACTCTGTATTCATAAAAAAAACTTACTTGTAGCATTTTCCTTGAATTGGAAATACTCTGCAGTTATTACAGGGGAGTCCAAGGTGCCTGTCAAGCCTCATTTTCTCTGCTGCAGTCACAAGCTGACCAGAGTTCCTGAATTCTTCTATAATGAGCTTTAATGGTGCAAATTCTTCTCTACAGAGGGGACACTTTACCACAGATTCATTCTCTAATTCACCTTGGTGATCAGCCCAAATCTTCATACATGTGATGTGAACACTGTTACCACAGCCGTACCTACAAAAGCAAAACACCATCAATTTCTGTACCTGTCCATAAATACTTGGGCAAATCTGCTATCTCAAACTAAATATCCTAGCCTTTTTAATTATAACAGTGTTTTATAGCCTTTTTCTTGCAATAAAATGAGGTGTATATGTAATGGGAGGTGCTTACTAATAGTTTAAAACTTCCCCATTTATAGATTTGTTGCAGCCATAATTGTGTAGAAATGATACTTCTTTATAATTAGCAAGTAAAATAAGCTCTTGCCAGATGTATAACATGAAAAGCAAACTATTTACTTAACCTGCAGTAAGTGATGGGAAGCATTTTCTTTAGTAGTTCTTCCTGGCAAATAGGACAGACATCCTCCACATCAATTTCTTTCTGATTAATGTATCCATCATCCTCTTTCTCTAATGTTTCAGTGGAGAGAGCTTTTGCTTTTGGGCTAGATGACTGTTCTTGATGTAGTCGTTGAAGCACGTCATTGATTTCTCTTTCCAGGAGACCTAACTGAAAGGCATCTACCAAAAATAAACTCAAAATGAAGGCTCTTTGCCAAATTTTAACACTTGGAAATATTCAGCTGTTACAGGTGTCAGTCTATATAATCTGCATTGAACAATGTCAGTTTTGATACATTTATAGCCCAAGAAATATTGCAAATCTAAATTCCTCATTTGAAATTAATTTTGAAATTAACTTCCCACCTAAAATGATCTTTATGGCAGAATGTGTTTTGTTTTGTAATTTTTAATACAATGGATATTTAAGTTTAGTTAAGAGGTTAATGTATGACCAATATCCTGAAACAATTCAGAACAGACTCTAAACTAAAACACTTTAAATTACACAGTATGTAAAATGGCATGCTTTGCTTCTAGGCCAGAAAGTCATAGATTCAAATTTCATGTAAGCACATTGCCTCAAATCCAAATGCTGACATTGCAGTATAGCATTAGTGGTGTTACAATGTTGGAAGTGCGTTTACATTTGCATTAAATATTAAAATACAATTATAGTGTAATAAATTAGTCTAAAAACAACACTGAGATGATCAATGTCTTCCATTGTAAGATTTTCCATCAAGTTTGCTCCCTTTCTTAAAAAATATGATTGTAGATAGAGCTCTTCCCCCTTAACAGCCAGCACTGCTAAATGAATCATCTGGAAAGTCAGGCTGTGCACTTCCTGATACCTGCAATATAGGTTCCGTAACAAGAAATAAGAGAACAGTTTTATTGATAATGCATGGTTAATAGGGTCTGAGAACTGGGCCATGTTTGATTCAGATTCGGCCTAAATTAGAGGATTTGATTAGTCAATTTGAATCACTGTCCTGATTTGATTCACCTGAATCCAAATCTGAAGATTTGATGCTGATTCGGAGAATCAGCGATTCAGCAATAGACACAGCTTTAAATGTTTTTTCTACATACCTCAAGGTTCCAGGAGTGGCTCATGAATGCTGTGATGGTGGGGCAGATGGAGTGTCCCACAGGAGCGCAGAGGGGCCCGGACTACAGAGCACATGGAGGGGATCTCGCCCCCCCACCCCGGCTCAGCAATTGGCCGCAGGGGAGCCCAGGTGTGCCCCCCTCTCCCGGCCCAGGAGGCACCAGTTGCTGAGCTGATGGGTGAGTCCTCTGCGTGCTCCGTGGTGGACCAAGAAGTGGATCAGAAATGCTTCTGGTCTACTTAAAGGTCTACCGCTGAGCGTGCTGGGGACCTCCCCCAGCCCCGCGCTCCTGTGGGATGCTCTATCTGCCCCACCATTACAGTGTTCATAAGCTGCTTGGTACCTTGACATACGTAGAAAAAACATTTAAAGCTGTGTCTATGTCCGAATGTCTCCAAACCAATTTGGAGGGTTTTGATTTGATTCAGAGAGATTAAAGGGTCTCCTGATTTGATTTGAAGATTCAGCTGCTGAACCGGGCCAAATCTCTGCTAAATTGAATCAGTGACCGAAGTTTCGGACAGCCCTAATGGTTAAAGGTTTATGCATAAACCAGGTGACTTTTTCTTGAGGTGGTATGGTCTCTGAAAAGCACACAGTAAAAAAAAAAAAAATTAGCAAAAGTTTAATTTTATTAAAAAAGTTAAACCTACATTATTCTTACCACCTAAAAGTACAAATATAAATAATATGAAATTACTACTTTTCTCAAAATAACTATTTTGATTATGGCTGTACTTTAAGGTTTATATTTATTGTTTCACTCTGGATCCTACTCAGGATGAATATTTTTAGAACTTCCACTTCACGTTTGTTTTGTTTTTTAATTTATAAAAAAATATATACATCACTCCCTTTTTCTTCTCTAAAACAATTCTGTGAACAATAAAGCCATGTCAATGTACTTCAACTGAGAATCTGGCCCATAATATCCTAAACTGTGTGAGATTTGACAAATGGAATGATTCTGGCCCATACCATTATGAGCAACTTCAGTGAGTTTTAGGGATCCACAAAAAGCATATCCCTCCAGGAAAAGACTGGACACTAGACCATACAGGGGCATCTCCAACTTCGTTTACAGGGGTACTATTCAGAGCCTTTAGGCACTGAACAGAACAGAGATTTGGGATATGGGTATAGTTTATTGCTGGTATAGGCAAAGACTGCACAAATCTGAAGAGCTCTGGTAGGTATTCTAATTTATGCTGAAAAGCTCGTTGGCCTTCAGCTGGCCCACAATCTATTTGGCACAAATGTGGCCGAAAACTGAACTGTATTTTCTTTACTCAGTCAAATATAACACAACATCTGCCCATGACTACAAAAATACTTGTTAAGTTACTGAAATACACGTAAACAGAACATGCTTTGGAATACCTAGTCTGCCAGGTGCTCTAACAACAGAAATAATCTCCTCCAACAACCCACAAGTGTTGTAAATTACTAGATTTTTAACATCAAACATTTTACAAGGGTAGTTTCAGAAGCAGCTGATGTTAAAAAAGATGTTCTGTCTTAGAAAGATGAAGCCAAATCTTGGCAATGGCCTAAAGCATAACAATTTTATATGCAGCTTAGGAAAAAAAAATCAGTGATTGAAAAGTAACCCTATACAAATTCCAGAGAACATTGCCTTTGTATATTTAAAAGCTGTTGCATTCTTTCTGCAATATATAAAATTCGAAAAAGAGGGTAACACCTACATTCATGATTTCTTGGAAGTTTGAGTTTCTTCAACAGTACCCTAATGATGAATGACAAAAAGATTATCATCTTACAAATTAAGCTAAAACAAATTACTTGCTAATTCAGCCTTAAATTAGGGGGTACAATAAAAGGCTTATGGTACTTCAGAGAAATTTAACATTAGCATTAAACAGCAAAACTATACCTTGGTCTGCTACAAATGTATTTTTATTAGGACCTTTATCTCACTTACAGAACTATGGAAAAGGACTTGAGAGTCTTGGTAGACCACAGACTCAATGCAAGTTTGCCATCTGATGCAGCTGCACAAAAAACTAATTTGATTTTAGGATACATCAACAGAAACATTAGGTGCAAGGCATGGGAGGCGATAGTACCTCTCTACTTGGCACTGGTTAGGCCTCATCTGGAGTACTGCATGCAGTTCTGAGCTCCACTTTGTAAAAAGGACATGGAGAAGTTAGAGAGGGTCCAGAGGCGGGCAACAAAGATGATCAAGGGCTTAGAAAGCAAGCCATACAAGGAGCAGCAAAAGGAGCTAGGCATGTTCAGCTTGTAGAAAAGGTACTTAAAAGGGGACATGATAGCAGTCTTTGAATACTTGAAGGGCTACCATAAAGAAAAGGGAAAGCACCTCTTGCTGCTGAGGATGCAAACCAATGGCTGGAAGTTGCAGTTTAATATTCGGAAAAACTTCTTCACTTTTAGAACAGTGAGGCAGCAGAATAGACTGCCTAGGGAAGTTGTGGACTCTCCATCACTGGAAGTGTTCAAGAACAGGTTGGACAGCCACTGGTTGGAGATGATCTAGATGTAGTGCCTATGTTCTACCATGGCACTATGTTTCTAGGCTTGGCTGGTTGCCCCCCTGCTCCTTTTTCTGCTATATGTCAGGGTGTTTTTAAGCCTTCCTAGAAGCAGCGGGTACTTGCTACAGGCAAGGCTGGGGACTTTCACTGGGGTATGCCAATGCACCTGCTGGGACCAAAGCCAGAGGTTCCTAGGGGGTGGTAGCAGGGAGGGGGCAGAAGTTCCGATTCCATGCCAGGTCAGAGCCGGAGCACTCAGCATCTTGCCCCTCCACTCAGAGTCAGACTGACACCATATTTGGGGTAAGGAAGGAATTTTACCCCATGGTCAGACTGGTACACAGACTGTGTGGGTTTCTGATTTCCTCTGTAGTGGGAGGTGTGTGAACCTCTACCCAGAATCTCTTGAGCATATATTGACATTTCATGGAAGCAGGACATTGGCTACCACGGTTCTCCTGCTTTACTTGTGACTGGTTAGTGTTAGGTCTGCGTTGTGTCAGGGTTGACAGTAGACTTATGTAGAGTTTGGTTAGTTTTTATGGGACGGCTTGGATAGGGATGATCTTGCCTAAGGCAGGAGGCTGGACTAGATGACCTCTGGAGATCCCTTGCAGTCCTACTTCACTATAACTTCTCTTGGCAGTTTGCTTAACAACTTTATCCTGCAAACCTCTTTTCTACTGGTTTCTATGCTATTTTCTAACCCACACATGCACTTTATCCAAGACATAGATAATATCCCTAACAGTCCTTTATGTAGGAATTTTTAAAGTCCACGTTAAAATTCTGTTTACCAATTTTTTTGCGTACACAAGGAATAATATTAAATTATAAAAATATGATTGGTGACCTGTTCAAATGGTAAAATGGGGGAATGCTGAGGCAAATAAATTCTTGACACTTTATGTGACTGATTCTTGATGCAGTTAGTGCTACAGCACAGAAGAGATTATTCTTAAATCTAAAATAGCTAATTAATTCAAGAAGTAACAATAGCTGGGACATGAAGTAGTAGTGATCATAACCTAATTTGTGTTCTATGGGGAAGTAAGGTACCAAAAATAAGAAAGATTCATTTTAGAAAATGAGATTTCAATAAAAATCAGGCCTTTACTTCAACTGAAGTAGGAAAAAATCACTATGACTTATCTCCACAGAGAGAATATACATGTGTGTACAATGTGAACTTTTCAGTACTCTTACTGTATTTACTGGAATCCAGTATGAAGTTTTTTTTTCCCCATTCAATGTGGGCGAAAAAGCCTCTCACCTTGGGTTTGAGTACAAGGCCAGGAGACAAGCAGCTTGCTGCTGCTCTGGCCCTGACCTGGGCTTGGAATCAGAACCTGTGTGTGGTGGGGGAGCTGGCATCATAGGAGGCAATGGCAGGGAGGGTAAGCAGTGGGAGTGACAGGAAGGGGACAGGAGATTTGGTCGTTTGATTCTACATTGCCTGGACCCTGCCACTGCTTTCCCTGCTGAAGTACTTCCACATATAGAATCTGATGATTGACGGGTTGTCTTAAATTTGAAGTCATCCTAGACTTGAGTAAATATGACACTCCAGACAAACTCCTTTGTGGATGGAGAGCTAGTGTGGAGTACATTAGGCACTGTAAGATTCACACCTTATCATACTTCTGCTTAACTTGTGTATGTAGCTACCCTTCCAAGTGGAACAGCTGCTACTTAAGAAAACCACCTCAAAAGACATTTGTGTACTGCCAAACAAAAAAAGAGACAGGAAGGCAAATATTATATCACCATTACTAAATACCAAGGTTGAAGGAGCTCTTTCAGCCAAACTGAAATCCTTCAACATTTGGTGATCTGTCCTACTGAAGTCAACAGACAGTAGCCCAAGTTACACTAAACAGCAAATAAGGAGGACCTAAAAAAATGCAAAATGGATTTCAAAGAGACCACAGCTAAAGGTATAAAATCAAACAAGATGCTTTCAGAATGTCGGGAGCAGGAAGCTTGCAGCCGTGTCAACTGAACTGGCAGAGCTAGTGGAAGAAGGTTGAGGAGACTGCTGAGAAGCTAAAGATTTCTTGACACAAGTCTTTTGCAGAAGGGGATGGCACTTCTTGCACCTGCTGCCAATTCCTAATAACAAAGATGAGTTCCTTCTAGCAACCAACCTGTTCAGAGACACTGGGGAAAACAGACAGATTAGAGAGCAAGAGGCTGCTCTTTACAGAGGCAGTGCTAGCTTGTTCCTGTCATTCCAAATCTGTCTAGGCGCTTTCTGTTTAATGACATCAGATACTTTCTGGTCCCAAGTAAGGCTTGCTGGGCAGAATGTCCATGTTCAATCCAAATGGCTGTTTCCTACAGCAATGCCAGGTTTGCTACCCTCCGGTCTCCTCTTCAGTAAAGGTAAATTCTCCTATCAATCATTTTCATTAGAATCTACCTGATCCCTTCTAAACTCTTGGTTCCACAGACATTAATTACCCTCTCTTCTTTTTAAGGGTCATGTTGTTTCTGAACCACCATACGACAGCAGAACAGTTAGCTGCTCTTGGTAAGGAAGCTCTTAATTCACAGCCAGGCAGAGTGATTACAACTCATTCCAATCTTAAACTGAGTAATACAGGCCCAGGACCCTGCTTATTAGTAAATCTTCTAGTTTCTTTCTGCTTGGAGAAAAATATGTGCTGTGTTATATGGGATAATGCACCTCACTATCTGCCACCCCCTCTTCAAAATCCTAGATCTGCCCATGTGCCTACCCAATGCCCCAGGTTTATGAATTCCTACAACAGCTTGGGAAGGCCAAACATATATCAACATTGCACTTAACAAAGGGATACTGGTAAATACCCCTTGCTCCAAAGTCCCAAGAGCTAATAAGTTCCCAGCTCCTTGAGGGCATCAGCAGTTTGGAGCCCTCCCCTTTGGTCTCCGCAGTCCCGCCACATCCTGGTGCCTGACAGGCAAGGTTGTGCTGTCCCACCGTGGCCCATCTTGAGGACATGGTGATGTTCACCAGTCTCAGGGCACAGCACTGCCAGGTATACAATAATTATCATATTTATACAATCATTTCAACCCCTGTCTGATGTATGATCAACAACAGTAAGTGCGTTCAAAACGCAGGACAATTTGTGAGACAGTTAATTGATGCTGCATAGGCAAAGCTCAAGCCACTCTCAGAGAGTCTTAACCAACTTCTGGGTTTGCTATCAGCACTTTTTTTTAATAATGGCTTTGCCTTGAAATAAAGGAAGGCTTCAACTTGGAGGACCCAGTTCTCACTCGTTCAACAGCAACTTACAGCGAGCAATATAAAGTAAATAAGATGACGCCTTATTTGCACCGTTTTTCAGCCTATGATAGCTTTTCAGCTAATGTGATCAGTTTGAGCTTCCAATATGATAATTTCATATTTAAGACCTGGGGAGCTGCTGGGACAGGACGTCCTCAGAGAGGCAGGGCAGGATGGTGCTGGGGCCCTTTCAGGTCGAAAGCAGCGAGTGCCCCCCCGTCGGGAACCAAAGTACTTGGCACCCGGCGCTGGGGCTCCCCAGACTCGGGGAAGCGGGGAGCGGGGGCCGGTGACCCTGCTGAAGTCCCAAGGCCGAGACCCTCCGAGAAGCTGCGGTCCCACCCTCACCCCCCATGGGGCCGCGCCAGGCCCCTCCCTTCCCGCAGGGCGCGGGCCGCTACCAGCACAGGTGCGCGCACAGGTCCCGCTCTCTCCGGAAGGTGGCGCAGGTGCACGAGTGCGGGGCTCCCAGCAGCACCTGCAACAACAGGCCGCGCTCAGTAGTCGCCGCCGCCGCCGCCGCCGCCGCCGCCGGGGGGCGGGAATGGGGTGGGGGGGAGGCGGGGCGCGAGGCGAGCC